ATATTCTCATGTATATATGTGTTATATATATATTCTCATGTATATATATATGTGTTTTATATATATTCTCATGTATATATATGTTATATATATGTATATATATGTATTCTCATCTATATATATGCTATATATATGTATATATATACTATATATATATGCTATATATATATATGCATATATAAGCTATATATATGTGATTGACCCCCCTAGAATAAATACAAATATCACAATTTGGGGTAGATCTGAAACTGTAGCATTGAAAACAATAAACAGCTGGCACTGGCCTTATATTTTGGCTGTGTTTGCCCCTAATCTATTTAATTTAATTCAATTTTTGACTTTTAAGACTGATGCAACGAAGCTTTATGCAGCTCTTTAATTTTTTTTTTAATATATATATAAGCATGCTGTCAATTTAAGGAGGGAAATTTTATTTATTTCATCTGTATGTAGAAGAGAAGCACAAAAAAAAAATATAACATTTTCTGGATCCTCTCTCATCCAACCACCAGATAAGAGGAAGAAATATTTATTTTTTTAATTTTTTATTTTTTTTTAGGATCAGCTATTTTTGGAGAAAAACACTGCAAGAAAAGTGAACAAATGAGATCATTGATTAAAGAAACAAAGTAGTCAGGAATCTGTAGCGAGCTGGGGTTTTTTTTAGAACAGAACTTCCTTTTGTCTTTTAGGGGCTCGGGGGCAGGAGGGGGGGATCCGTCGTTGTTCCCTCAGAATCTTTCTGGGGAAGCAGCTTGGATCAGATTTCAGGGGAGATGGGGATGCAACGGTGTTGTCTTGTCCTTCTTGAGCCTGGAATGTGGAATATTAGTAATTTGCTGGCTTGTTCTCCTCTTTCTGGAAGGGGTTTTTTAAGGAAAAGCCCCCTGTGTAAACTTAATTCCTCCCATTCCTCCTGTGCTGGGAAAGCTTTTTAAAGCTGCTCCTCCTTTTACCAGGAAGGGATTCCTGGATTTTGGAGGCTGTACCCTAGTTAAAGGGTTTGTTTCTGCTCCAATTTACTAACTACCAGTATATTGAATAAATGCAATAACTGCAGGAGCATCAAAGTGGAGCTTTGGACGATGATTTTCTCTCTCTCAAGGAATCCTTTTCCCTGGTTCTTTCCAGGTTCACTCTTGGCACTCGGAAAGTCTGGGAGACACTCAGATCTATATTTGGGGCTGTATTTTCCAGGCAAAACATCCATGGTTTTCAGTGGAAGTTTTGCCTTAAATAAGGGCTAAATATCTATCAGAGCAGGTATCCAAATCCTTCCACCCCAACCCAAACTCCAAATATAATCGACTTTTCCCAACTAAGATAATTTAAACGCGATCCCGTCTCCTCAGGGTGCAAGAATGTGCTATATTTAGTGGACAATAACTCAAAAATCCCTGTGTTTAAACCAAAACAAAACCCCACAAACCCTAACCCAACCCCCCAGATTTCCCCTAAGGCTCCAAACTCGGGGGCTGACGTTGGAGGATTCCACGTTCCCAAATATGTGACCGGTCGGAGCCTTTGAAACCCCCCCGTGCCTTCCCTCGGAGCGTGCCCGGTGTTAGGGAGCAATAAAGCACAGCAGTGTCTGTGGGCCAGCTCAGCCCAGGGCTCCAACCATATCTGGGCTGGAGGCTCTTGAGCTCCTCACTCACCTCTGTTTTAAAATTAGGCAAATCATTTGCAGCGTGATTCAGTTCTAAAAATGACCCGTCCATCTGCCCCGGCTCTGACGTGGCCCCGGCCACGGCTTTCCCAAAGTCCTCTTGCTCCTGGAACATCCTGGGGCTTTTGGATCCCACTTTTTCTTTGCTTAGATATGCCTGGGTCAGGCTTTAAGTTCATATAAAACTGCAGTGTGGCTGATTTTAATTTTTTTATTTTAATTTTTTTATTTTAATTTTTTTATTTTAATTTTTTTTAATATCAATCTTTTCTACTCTTGATATTTTGTCATTAAAAATCTCTGTGTGAAATATTTAATTAAAAAAAAGAGGGTCTGTTGTGTTTCTGTTTCTGATGCCAGTGCTGAAATATTTACCAGCTTTCTGGGTGCTGGATCAAGCCCTAAATCTGATTTTTTTCCCTAAATTCTGACTCCACAAAGTTCTTGGGCAATGAGCACTTGTAACCCATTAAAGCTCCCCAAAGCTGGTCCCGTGTTGGTGGGTTTGTGAGAGTTGTGTTACTCCTGGAACATCCTGGAGCTTTTGGATCCCACT